TCTTCCACCCCTCCCTGCTGCCTTTCCAGCACGTGCTGTTTCATGGTGTGTTTCATAGTGTGTTTTCCTTGGTGTGCTGGAAAATCTGTGTGTTGTTCTGTAATGTAATCTGATTTATGTAATATAAGTAGATAATTGTATATGTATGTGTATTTATGTAATGTATGTATGTATTTATGTGTTTATGTAATAAATAAAATAAAAATATATAAATGTATGTAGTATATGTTTTTGTATAAATTCTATATTATAATATGCAATATATGCTTTGCTTCCCTGCACAGTGAATCAAATGCATACTGTCAGAGAAGCACAGATTTCTTTTCTAGGGGAAAAGAATTAAAATAGTTTAACAAAAACAAGAGGATTTTTGGAGAGGAATAAATTGAAAGGAAATCAATGAATATAATAATAAAATAAAAGGGTATAGAAAGCAAAACGTACTGATGAATCCCACTTGCTAGGTTAGCAAGTAGAAAATGAATGATACAAATGCATACTGTCAGAGAAGCACAGATTTCTTTTCTAGGGGAAAAGAATTAAAATAGTTTAACAAAAACAAGAGGATTTTTGGAGAGGAATAAATTGAAAGGAAATCAATGAATATAATAATAAAATAAAAGGGTATAGAAAGCAAAACGTACTGATGAATCCCACTTGCTAGGTTAGCAAGTAGAAAATGAATGATAGCCTTTGTTTTCTGATGCTGCTGAGCTTCTGGAAGACGCAGCTCTGTAATTGACCCCAAGGCAGAAAGCAGCTCAGTTCAACCAATGCTGTTTTTTATGTTGTTTTTCCATCCCTCCCCCAGAGCACTGGGATTGGAAGGGACCTCAGGGAAGGATCATAGTCACTAGCCAGCTACACAGTCAATATCAGAGCAGTCTTTCCCCCCTCTTCCTCCTCCCTCTCCTTAGTTTCTGTTTCCCTGCAAGCAAGTCCATCTTTGAAACTCAAAATGTTTTGAAACTTTGGAAACGTTTTGACTGCCCTTGTTTCGGTTTGAGGCTGTTTCGAAGCCTTTCATTTCATTTCGATTTCACTGTTTCAAGTTCAAAATGAGTTTAAACAGCGTCAAAACGGAATACCTGGAGAAATTTTGCACAGCCCTAATCTTTACCCATAGTCAAATACCATATTTACTTAAGAAAACATTCTCAGTAATTATATTCTGTACATGGAAAATTATCCATTTGTTATTATTTTCTATGTATAGAATCTAATTATTGGAGGGTCATTTTAAATTCATTTCTCCCATCATTACGGCAGGGAAAACAGTGGCAGTTGGACATTAAACCAGCTGCAGATATATGGATGTTTCATTTTGTAAGGAAGACTTGAAAAATGTTATGGTCACATATGGTCTTTGTCAAATTTCACTTCTTAGTTCTCTTTCTTACTTTCATTTTCTGTAAACCCAGAAGACCCCAGGAGGTCATAGGGAGGTTCCTATGATTCATTGCTAGGTGTTCATCCCTGGTAAGTGAAAAACTGCTCATTGAGTTAAGAAATCCCTAAGTGGTTCACAGAATCCAGTACTTGAACAGTGCCCAGCCTTGCCCATGCTGTTTTGCTCTATGATTTACATCTTACCTTGCTTGCAGCTGGTGAGATTTTGTAGGAAAAATAGAGGGTCTGGGTAGATTCTATAGCATTCAGCTTGAAGGATAGGTTGTAAATATTCCTCTCCCATGTGGTGAGGATTACTAGGTACATTGCTAGGTATACATGAACATGCATTATTATTAAGGCAGCCTTTTCACCACAGCTATCATTGGTGTTGTGGATCCCATGATTTTATATTTTTACACTGCTATTTTTGCCTGTGCTCTGCAACTGCCATAACAACAGATAAACCACTTTTTGTTGAAAAGTTTGAAATCTGACAAGTTACACCTCCCATGAAGCCCAGGGTTTATGAAACAGCAAGGACATTTTAATAAGGGCTACTGACCTGTTACTGAAGGTTTGGAAGACGTTATGCCTTCTGTTAGTAATGCAGGTTTTAGGGAAGAGAAATCATGAAACATACATAGAACTGATTTTAAAACAGCTGTGGTTCTCAGCCAGTTATCAAGGCTGAACTGAAAAAGTGTATCTGAAGGTGTAGATTGAATTGGCACTAATAGGATAAATAAATAGGTTTAAATTATTTTCTGCTATTGGTAAAATGCTACTTAATGTACTTTGAATAGCTTTTGTTTGTAAAAGAAGGCTATCTTAATTAAATTAATGTGACCTGTGGCTCATCACACTGTGCACTGTTAGAACTTGTGACTTCTGCTACTGGTGCTCTCCTTGCCCAGACAGTAGTTTGTCATATAATTTTCTGCGACAAACTGATAGTCTTATTTTATAATCTATTTCTAAGGCAATCATTACCACCATATGTGAGAGTCCGGAGGGCACTCACCCAGAGTGCGTCCCCAACCAGGGACATGGACTGCACCACATCACGACGTCCATGCTACCACAGGACCTCCCCATCTGCACCTGCCCGGCTTTACCTCCTCGACAGGTGAAGTGGATTGGTGCCAATTCATAGGGAGGGCAATATCCGGAGGCCGGGGATGGAATCTGGGAGGGAGAGAGAAGGATGGTGGAAGAGGAGAGGAGCCTGGGAGCTAGAGACGTGGGGTAAAGACAGGGAAGATTGGGTAAGCCTTTGGTTGGACCCCAAAGAGGCAGTGGCACCCTCACTGTGGAAGTGAAGAGGAGGGTGGAAGAGGCAAGGCGGTGGAAGGCGGATCGGGGAAAGACCCTAGGAGTGCCAGAGGCAGCGGATCCACCCAAACCATCCGCCGTGGGGGGGATGGGGGTTTCCATTTTTTTCCTCCTTTGATGTCTTGCCACTGGCTAGGGAGACCAGATTGGGGCCGGGCATTTTCCCACAAAGAAAAGGGGAGTGTGCACTCCGAGGGGCTCCACGACTGGGTCGGGAGCGGGCAGAAACCCCCCGAGCTGTGAGAACCGCACCCCTTCCCAGCTGATCGCTCCACAGGGAGTTCCCCTCCTCGTTAAGCAGTCTGTGCCATTAATTAAGCCCAGCGCAGTCCTGATTCAAAGTATCTGGGAGGAGTCCAGGGCAGGGAAAGTAAGCTGCTGAAGACTCCTGGGGGTAACCGACCCCAGGCAACTGGAATCAGACCTTGACGACATCCAGAAGAAGAAGAGGACAAAGGTCATGAGATTTCAGTGAACCTGAAAGAATTAAAATGAAATAAAGTAAAGATATTGGTTTTAAGTTGGTCCTTTCCTCGCTTCCATTTTTTAACTTTGGGCACTGGGGCAGCCCCTATGATTGATCCGGGTGTGGGACGGGTAGTCACCACCTCCCTAAGTCGTGGCAGGAGGAGAAAAAAGGGGCACCAGACCTCACCCAGATCGACCATAAGGGGCACAGCCACCCTGAGGGGCAAGTGAATATCATCAGGACGTAGCGGTACAGGTCCGTACCCGGTGACTACCCAACACCATAGCACAACTCTATATTAATTCATAAACATGACAAGACCATTAGGGAAGTAAATTTTCCATTCATCTTATTAAAAAATACAGCTTCTTATTTTTAAAAAGAAAAGAATTTCACATGTGCCATTAAACACTGGAAAACAAAAAGAGAATATCAAAATGAAAGTAAAGTGCACCTAAACAGAAGTCTAAGTCCTGCCCAGTATTATTATTCAGACAGATGCTCCCCCAAGCCAATTAATCACAAAGGGGATGCTCCCTTTAATTTAACTTTAAAGTCATACAAGGCAGAAATAAGCAGCTGAGATTTAGATCTCTTAAAAATAATCAAGCTATCGCCCTCCAATGCAAAACTACTGTTTTTGTTTTTGTTTTTCTCTCCAAATGCCAGTGAGGAAAAGAAGCAGCGTTCACATACCTCAGTGACAGGAACCAATATAAAGAACTGATTTAGATAGATGTGCCACATCTACAGTGCATACCACAAAATAATATGGATGAGTTCTACAAACACTTCAGATAGCCTTATTTAGGTACTACACCAATATTGCAAAGATTTGCATGTTTAGCACTGTGTAGGTCTATTTACTTTAATATAATTACTCACAATGCATAAAGCCAAGCACATGTCTGTACAAGAGCAAGGCCTGGAAAGTTACCAGAAGCAAGCTGACAGTACCTTGCAGCTACCTGCAAACTTCTTAAATTTTAACTAAAATATATATTCTTTTTGTGTTTTCCTAGAATATATATTCCTTTAGAGGTTTTTTCTATTTTTCTGCCTCTCTCGCAATTGGAAAAACATTGCATCAAGTGTGTTTAAAATGTTAAGCACATTTTGTTATATTTCCTTTCGGTTATATTTCTAATGAAAATGAAATGTAAAGATCAGTACTTTTTAGTTTACAGAAATCCATATGATGCATGAAGCATTTTCCGCCCCACAAGACATTCTTTTGTCTCTAATACCTCATGTGTTACATTTTGAAGAAATACAGAGAACTTGTGTGGTCTCAGACACATTAATTCATCTGTGGAATAGGCCTTGCACCTGCTGATATTTAGGTAACATCTACGCAAACAAGTTTTACTGGTGACATTTCGGCTGCCATGTACGTCTAGAATGTGTTCTTATTTTGGCTGCCTTTGCTGGTGCAGTCTCTGCAATACCAGGCTGTATTAACAAATGATATGCAGCACTGTAGGTGGGCATCTCTGTGTTCCCCAGCACCACTGCCTTGAGCACTACCCTCTGGAAATTTGTTTGCCATGCATGATGGATTTTCAACATTCTTCTCAGAAAGTTCTGCAAGTTTGGGTTACATTTCCACAATCCCCACTGCAGGGAGGATATAACCCTCCTTCCCTCACTTCATTTTCTAAAATTCCAGAGTTTTCTTTGTTTCAGCCAAATAATCTACTTTTTTTTAATGCTTTTTTAATATTGCCATAGTCCTTGTTACTCCATCCCCTAATCTGTTTTTCCTTGTGCCTGTTTTCAATTTCCTTGCCATGTGGCCATTAGAAACATGGATGCCAAACAGACCTGTGTCTTTTTTAGAAACAAAACTACTAATGCTTTTGTATCTGCAGAACTTCAACAGCTACCAAAGGTGGGCAGTAGTAAGAATGAGAGACCTTGGGAGTGGATGATGCAGACGGTCAATGAAAATCTCCAGGCACTTTTGATTCTCAGACCAGCTGAACTTGGTACAGTGGCAGTTTTGGGACTGTGAAACAAGAACTGGTGTGTAGGATTGGACCCTGATGCCATGTGGAATGATTAAGAATAGCTGCAAAACTTCTAAATTCTTGGAGTTGTGTGCCAGATCCTTCAACACAGAGATACCACAATGAGAATGGCTTCTTTAATGGAAAAAGGAGTGACAGTCATACCCAGGAAGTTTGCAAACTGGGATTGCTATTGGCAATCAGTTCACTATTGGAAAAAATGTGGTGGGAATGGCTGTCAGCCAACTGTGCACGCCTTAAACACAGGATTATGATTCTGAGCAATGTGAAGGCATTATTTATTGAATAGATAGATTCAATGAAACAATAAATTCTATCTGTTGAATAGATAGATTCAATCAATGTCCTGATTCTGTCCCACCATTCCGTCTGTGTACATAAACAAAGAGGAATATTTTTCCTTGGTTGGGCCAGCACTGGGGACATTAAAAGTAGGGTGATCAAAATAGGTGTGTAGTGATTCCAGTTTTATGAATCTCGGACTTTTTGAAGATCCCAAGCAGGTACACTTTTCATAGACTAAACTGTTAGGAATCAATGCCAGCTGCAATTCTTTAGGATCCCACTTCCTCTTGGATAGATCTCAGGAAGCCAAATATTCCTATTGTTGTTACTTCATGTTGTGTTTTTTTACACTTAAGAGGCAGGATGGAGGGGAGAAGTGGAAAGACAGACAATTTGGAACAGTCTTATAAAGAGGTAATTACCAGAGGTTAGCGAAGTGCTGTACAGCTGAGGGAAGTGTCTTAATGGAACCTTTTGACAGTATGTCAGATACAATGTCCTGTCTTGTGTTATTCTGAGGCTGTACAGTAAATGAACAGGATATAAATTGTTACGAACTTTCAGGAACCTGAATGGGGGTATATCTCTGTATTGGAAATAAATTATAGTTTCACAGAATAAAGCTCTGTTAACCTTTGATAAAACTAATAAATGAACTACTAAAAGAAAGTGCAAGTTGTTAGCCACTTTGCATTGTATCTAATGAACAGCAATTTTCATTTTATCTGCTTGGATTGAGTCCCAGGACATGCTTGCATCTCAGGAACTAATATTTATGCACCTGGCTTAGGATTGGGAAGAAGAAATTGCGAAGGGTGCTAGATGTAGGGTTTTGGATGATTAGCACCAGTCTACCAGGAAGCATCTGAGTTTGTTATTTTGATGCCTTTGCATTTCCACCATTCCTTGGTCTTATGGACTCCAAACTGATAACTTCAACCTTTTTTTTTCCTTATCTTTTCCAGTCCTTCAGCTGATAGGGAGGAGTAGTTCTCAAAATACACCAACTGACACTGCAAACAGACATTGCCTTTGTGCTGCCATAAAAAAAAAAATTATGACAGTGTAAAGCCTAAGCAAACAGACATCCATACCCCTTCTCATGCCCCAAATGCTCAAGTAACCAACAATAGGCAATTAAAAATTTGCACTTTTTGAAGCAGGAGTCTCTCTGCTTTATGGCAGGAGATTGCCCACTCTCTCCATCTGCCCCAGGCAGGCAGTCCTAAGGCTTCAAGGGCCGGATGCTGCATGCCCCAGAAACGCTCCCGTAGGAGATACCCTATACATGTGAATCGTGCTGCTGTGCCCCAGGCTGGAGCACATACCTGAAACCAGGGGTTCCCAAATATCCAGAGGTGCTCCTCAAATCAGTGCATGGCAACACCACACCCATACCCAGGGAATCTCTTGCTGGGGAATTGTCAGGGGACAGCTCCTCTAATAGTATATACTGGCAGTAATAGGCAAACTTCAGCCCCCAAGCCTCCCAACAAAGCCTAAAACACCTTTAAGTAATAAAGGACTTATTTTCTGGACCAAACAGGAAGTTTGGCTGGAGTTTTAACTGTAGATTTTCATGGAGCCAAACTTGTGCACTCAAAAAGGCAAGCCAGAAGAAGTATTTCTGGAGCTCAGTTAGGATTCCCTGAATCCTAGGGGCTTGGGTGGCCATGCAGGCACTGTGAGTCCTGGCTACCAAAGTTCAAAAAAGTGTGATCACCACCACTGGGATATGAGCATTGTAGAACTGTTGCTTTCTCTTAATACAAGTAAGTCAAATACTGTATGGATGGAAGTGCCAGAAGAGAGTTGGTTCTGTCCAAGGTCGTGGTTTAATTTACTGGCAAGAGTTTAATGTTCTGTCAACAGAATCCACAACAGAGCATGAAGGATGTAAGGCAAGTAATTCTCAATGTTTTTAGACTCGAGGGCCCCCACATCTGACTCATGGCCTCCCTTGGATAATGCCAGCTTTTACTTGTCACTCATTTTTTGAATGCAGAAAAATAACTGAGAAATTTTTCTGTTGCAAAAAACCCAGAAAAACCCCAACAGGCACAAGTGTTTGTGACTCTATGGATTCCTGTTTGAAATCTCCTGGGTTATCTGGTGAATCATGACACCAGTGCAACCCACCCCACCCCCGACAGCAAAAGAGGGGAGCTGGTGCAAGGGTCTCTTTTCTGGTGAGGAGGAAGTGAGAGGCATTTGGGTCCTTGATGGGTGCTGGTGGTCTGGGGGAAGCTAGGGTAGAGTTGCACCTGATAGAGTAACCAAGGTAGAGATGGATAGATAGATAGACAGACAGACAGATAGATACACACACACACAAGTCTACTTTGGTGCTATACTATACGCATATATATAAAACCCTCATCCCCCCGGATTGCCCTTTCACCAGCCCAGAACCCCTCCTTCTATAGATATATACACACAAACACACACATCTACTTTGGTGCTATGCTACATCTATCTATCTATCTACCTACCTACCTACCTACTTTGGTGCTTTCTCTATTCTTAAGAAAGCATGTGAAAGATGGGAAGGCAGCCATGTCTGTCTGTCTGTCTGTCTATCTACCTACCTACCTACCTAGGTGCTACATCTATCTATTTGGACAGATAGATATTTATCCATCTATCAAGATAGACCGATAGATAGATATCTATTGATCTATCAAGATAGATATCTATTGATATATCTAGATAGATCGATAGATAGATATGGATATCTATCTCATGCTTTCTTGAGTGTGTGTGTGTGTGTGTGTGTGTAAAGCTAGACAGGCACAGCACATACTCGTATTTAATCTACTTTGGTGCTAAAGATACCGTCTATCTATCTACCTAGTTAGGTGTTAGATGGATAGAATGATCGACGGACAGATATGTATTTCTATGTGTATAACTCTCTCTATATATATAGGTAGCTAGAGACTGCGCATCTCTAGCTACAGCCACGCAGAGAAGTAGCTGGAGACGGAGCTAGATGTCCAGGGCTAGGTCTGGCTCTCCCTACCTGCGCGTAGGCAGGGCGCTGTGGGTACGCCGTGCCTGTCCCCGGCGGGGCGGGGCTGGCGGGCGGCGGCGGGATGCGAGCAGCGCGGAGCGATGTACCCGGGCAACAGCAGCGGCCCCGGGGGCGGCGCGGGGCAGGCCCTGTTCAGCCCGGGCACGTACGAGCTCTTGGCGCTGCTGGTGGCCGCCATGGGGGCGCTGGGCGCGGGCAGCAACCTGCTGGTGCTGGTGCTGTACTGGCGCTTCCCGCGGCTCCGCACGCCCACCCACCTGCTCCTGCTCAACATCAGCCTCGGCCACCT